ATATTCCTTTTGCCATTCTTTGTTTTATGTTTATCACTGTTAATAAAGCTGTTTTTCCTTCCACCACTGGGTGGTTGTTGCTTTTTTGAAATCCTTAAAAATTGAACTGTTTGCCAAAATGGGCAACACACAGTGTTGTTGTGAGAATAACATGTAGGAGAGGAGAATGATGAAAGCTGCTTTGGGCTCACATTGTGAAGAATATAGCTGCAGATGCCTGTGTGTGTGTTAAGTGCCATCAAGTTGCTTCTGACTTATGGTGACCGTATAAATGAATGATCTCCAACATGTCCTTTTGTTAACAGCTGTGTTCAGGCCTTGCAAACTGAGAGCTGTGACTTCTTTGATTGAGTCAATCCAAAACATGTTGGGTCTTCCTCTTTTCCTGCAGCCTTCAATTTTCCCAAGCATTATCATATTTTCCAGTGATAGCCTTAGTTTAGTCATGTTAACTTCTTGGAAGAGTTCAGACTTGATTTGCCCTAAACCCCACTTCTTTGTCTTTTTTGTGGTCCATGATATCCATAAAACTCTACTCAAGCACCACATTTCAAATGAATCAACCTTTTTTTTTCTCTCAGCTTTCTTCCTTGTCCAACTTTCACACCCATACATAGTAATGGTAACAGTCTTTGTTATAATATTTTTAGCATCACTTTACTCATGTGAGAAATGAGGAGAGAAGGTGGATTGTAGGCTTGCCAATTCCCCCTGGGGGGCAGGGAAAACCCCACCCCAGAGGCTCGTTCCCCACCACTGCTGGATCGGGCCCTGGGGGGAACTCCACCCTGACGTGCACGTCACCAGGAAGTGACACGACCATGCCGGGCACACTGGGGGCGGGGCCACGGTCATCTGAGGGAAAACTCTATGGCTGCCAGGGGAAGGGAAGAAGAGAAAGCTGAAGACAGATAAAGATAGGTTGGCTGGTGGGAAAGAAGGAAACATGAAAAGTGAGACACTATGGGGGTAGTGGAGAAAGGAAAACAAGATGCCTTTTAACATGTCCTTGAGGGTCATCTACTTGTATATATCTAATGTGTGTGTGTGTGTTGGACAGTGTCTGTGATACCCACACACAATAAATCCTTAAAGTGCATATGGCAATCTTGCCCTCTTCCCTTCCTCACACACAGGATTTTTCCTTTGTTTCTTCTTTCTTGCTGAGCACCCCCTATATCTATTATACTCTCCCCCCCCCCCCGGTCTATGGCTGTCCCACCATTTTATGTTATTATATATTTTGATGCTGGCCCAGCATAGCTGAGGTAACTTTGTAATCACACTAAATTGAAGATAATTTGTTGCCAACAAGTAGGTGTTTCTGCTTTTCCATAAAGTCTTTGAAACTTTGAGAAGAGAGGCTTTCTTTTCAGTGTCTGCTTAAACACTCAAGTATAAGTTCCTGAGTTTCACTGAATTTTAAGGGTTTGAAGGCAGGGACATAAAACCAGGTTCCAAAAATCCTTCTCTATACACTGACCAAAGGATCATTCCTCTCTCAAGAGATATCTCCCTTTTCACTGGACAAGGATTACTTTTTTAGACTAGAAGCTCCCCCTTGCTTGGTTGGGGATCTTCTGTAATCCTCCCACTCCTCTTCTAGCCACCTTCCCAGTCCTCAGTCAGTGCTAACCTGATCTTCTTCAACTGTCAGTTCTCAACTGTCATTTCCTAACTGATGCTCTCCACAGAATTCCATTTGAACAGCCTGTCACTTAAAAGTTCTCAAACTCTGTGACGCATTAACCCTTGACAGTCCATTAAAGTGTGACAGACTAATATCTATACGCAACACATTTTTAATTTGCCACAAAATTCTGGCATTTTTATGTGAGAAACAGGCTTAACAGAACCCCACAATTACATTTTCCCCCTGTTCATTCTCAGGGTTATTTCAAACACATCACTCTGCATAGGGCTTCTTTTTACCCTTAAAAAAAAAAAACCTAACTAGACAGCAAACTATGTCTTGCTAATTGGTCATTGGGGTTCTTCATTACATTTTTAGTTAACCACTATACAGGCTATATCAGGAAAGCCTGAGACATTACATCAGGAATACATTTTACCATGTTACAGTTTGTTCTCATGATTAGTTGAATCCTTTGATATGTGGTTAGTGAGTATATTTTGGGATAAAAAAACCTCTCAGATTAGTCATACAAATCAGTAATCTGAGAATATACTGTAAATATTTAATTTGTATTACAACTATTCTGAAACTCAGAATTGGATAACTAGTAACATCAAGTTTGGGGGCAAATTTGCCCTAATAATAATACTATTTTTTTAATGATGAACTGATCCTCCTTGCTCTGAAATTATTTCTCCATTGGCAATTAAAAATTAAGTTGTATTTCAAGTTTTTGTGCCACTTTTGTGCCACATGGAATTGATGCTAAAGCCGGTACTCACTGTATTCATATGCTTGGAAATTGCTTCCCTGAATTAACCTCTTACTTAGTTTCAACAAAACTGTTCTTGCTGCTGAACCTGACTGACACTTTTAAGAAACAACTGTAGATACCACCAAAACTGCTGCTTCCTCTACTCATGATATACAGATGAGGAAAGTGAGCATGATATAAGTTCCCAGGAAATGCATTGCCTTTTTCTGTTTCACCATTGCGATATGCAAGCATCAGTGCAAAAATGCACAACAAATACAAGTAATTTTGAATTTTACTTTTAATGTGTCTGTGTATTCTGTTTGTAAACAATAAGCCAATTACAATTAGGCCATGAACATTCCCCTATCATTATGGGAAACAATCTTAGAGAAGTGCTTTATGTATGAAAAAGTAGTCCAGCTTAGAAATCTCAGGGGGGAAAATGCAGCAGATATTATTGTAGCTCAATTCAATTATTTCATTCTCTGATAAATTATTTGAAAGAAATTTGATCATAATAAATGGAAAACAGGCTGCTCTGGAGTTTACAGAGCTGAGACATCATTTGGAAAGTAAATAGGAGGCATGTGGTATCCAAATCAACATAAAGTTCTGTATATTTGCAATTTAACTTTGCACTTATCAGTCAGGATTGATACACTTCATTGAATTTTTCATCAAATCAAACCCACTTATTAGCAAAACAAACAAACAAAAATATCTTCAAAATTTATTCCTCAAAATATTAAATGGCCTAGCTGCTATTTAGCTGATATATTACACACCTGTTTAAGGCACTATTTAATGAGGTTACCAATACCATTCAGAAGACCAAGCCTCCATTATTTTTATGTGATAAACATAAAAAGAATGGAACTGCTTTTTCCTGCTTTGAGTTTTCTGTGTTATTTCATCAACATAAGACAGCATATTATATTCTTAAAGTTGTACAGAGCTGATATTACAACATCAGATGTTTCTGTGGTGAGCAGGGATCAGGGTTTTCCAGATTGACTCATCCAGCCAATCATGTGATTAAACTTCCACCCAATTTGAACAAGAATAAGAATTTCAGTGGTTAAAACCAAAGCTCAGTTTTAAAAAAAATGAAATTAATTTTTTTGAGAAACCCTAGATCTGCTACTATGTTTTGGCTTGAAAATATTTTTTTCCGAACTTCATTGTATAACAGCAGTAGGTCAAATCAGTAAGGACATATATGTGATAGTTCTGCCTCAGCACCCATCAGGCTATCCTAACTCCCTGCTCAGGTAAAGAGCCCTGAATCAAGTGATAGAGACACATTCCTGCTCTGACACTTCAGAGGGAGTTGCTCTGGTGAGGGAATATACTTGTCCCAGCAGGATTCCCTTGCTGCTCTCCAACCCCCTCTTAAGCGGGGTTTAGAGCTTTCCCCTCTGGTAGACCACCACTACCACCTCCTAGTCCTTGTTCCCCTCTCTGGTTCAGAGCCAGGAGGAGCATCCAAATGGGCGCTGCTTGTGCAACAACTGCAATTGTTTTCTCTAAACTAATACAGGGGGATACATGTTAAGGGAAAAAAGAAACATGGAAATATTGTAAACCTACTTGGAACTAACAAATCCTGAGCATCTGATCCCACTTCCCCATTGAGAGATTCAGATGGGTGTATGCATAAAGAGGATGCTGTCTTTCACATGGTCACACTTCCCTCACAGTCTCTCTCTTTCACACACAAGTGTTTAAGAAGGTTTTGACCTATATGGGCCTTGGGTTCTTTCAGCAATAGCCTGCCAGAACCTATTCAGTTAATAGAGGAGTGCTAGCACAGAGACTCCTGGCTATGAAACTCTACTTATTTCACTACTGAGGATGCTGGATGATATTTTTCCTAGTCTTCATGCTGCCATAAACACCGGTCTGTCTCCAGAAATGTTATCCCCCTTCTGCTCTCATCTATGACAATATTGTGTAGCACAAGGGATTGTTCAAGTGTGGAACTGTAATAATGAACAATAAAAATACGGAATTCCAGGGAATGGCAATTTTCATCATAGGACCTGTTAGCAATATCATCAGGAAACCTGTCATATTGGTCCCACAGCCCATATCTCAGTTATATGGACCAGTATGAGCTGGACTGTATGCAGCAGCTCAATTTCAAAGAATGTGACCAGGCATGGTAGTATTATGCCCAAGCTGTTCACAGTGGAAATTAATGCATGCAGTTCTGTCAACAAGAGTGCAAAAATCTCTATAGCACTGAACCACCAATTTTATTCCTCAAAATCAAAGCCATCTGGTGGAGGTCCTTATCAGTAATAGTATCATGGAATACAGATATTTGAATCAAGTCATATTGATATTGAATTGTCCGCTAATGTTTCCTACTTCACAAGAGTTTGGATCCAATGGAGTATATCCATGGACAGGAAGATATCCCACAAAGCATGACTTTCTCGCCTGCCCCCCCAACCACTGCAGCCCCTAGAGCCCCCCAAAATGCAACATTACAGCAGGAGATATCTGTTCAGGAGAAGCTTGGATCCAAGCAATGGTATATGGAAAGTTCTCTGTGTTCTCTGGAACCTCCAGTATTTTTTTAATGAAGTATGTTCAATGTAGTCCTGTTCCCAGTATCAGCTGGAGGAGATCTGATGGCATCCCATTAGCTGGAAAGGTGAACGCATCCAAAGGAATCCTTGAGATCCCAGATTTTCAGCAGTTTTTTTTTCAGCAGGAAGATGAAGGCTTTTATGTCTGTGTGGCAGCAAACAGTCGGGGAAGTAATGTTGCTAAAGGTCAACTCTTTATATACGGTGAGTAAACTGTATTGTTACGTGCAATATAGTAATGTTGGAATATTCTACAAGTGTCTTACTGAGCATATTTATTCCTCATCATACTTTCATGTTTAGCATATAAAATCTCTTGAAATTCTCCTGATCTAATTGTGTGTATGTGTGTGTGATATATTGAATAGGTCTCATTTCCAAAATTCAACCAAACATGCTAGGAAGTCTTGGATCCTCCAGTAAATCATTGCTGACAGTGATGAATCCCAGAAGGCATGAGCTAGAAATCATTTTACAGCCTACTCCACAGTAGTGACGGCAGTGAAGAGACAATATTTTTCCACCATGATTGCATCAGCACAGCATAGATCTGTGGAAATCTTGCAGGTGGTCAAAGGCCTATTGAGTTTTAGACTACAGGAGGAGGTAGAGTGTTCTGCAGCCCACTGTGACCATTTTGCCAAAACTCTCACATCTGTTCCAAATTGAACTCTACATTCACACTGACAGGATCACATGGTCCCAGGATGTCAACTTATCCGGTTGTGTAGGATACCTTTTTAGCTTGTTCAATCTGAGGTTGAGGACAGGATTCTTGAAAGTTTGAGACCTACCACCGGGCTGCTTAAATCTGCCAGAGTGCGGCTAGCTGAGTGGGTCTTGGGGACAGTAAATGACTCCTTGAGAGAGAGATGCTCACCCCTGCCTTGAAGTTGGCAATGGTGTGTTACTCCTAAAGAAACCTACTCCAGACCAAGTAGAGCAATGTTCCCTCTAAGCTGTGGAGTCTTGTGAGCAAAAATCTTACTTTGTGAATGACTGGCATTAAAGTTGTGAGCGAGCGATTTGGCTGCTGCAGAAATTAGCTTGTTCTGGAGCCATTTTTTTCTGAGCAAAGACAAAAATGTGTGAGTTGGAGACTAAAAAACTGTGAGCTAGCTCACACTAACTCAGCTTAGAGGGAACACTGAAGTAGAGTTGAATAACTAGTGTCCAATCAAATGTACTCTTCTTGATCAAGGTTATTGAATGAGTAGTGGCTGGGCAGCTTCAGGGATTGCTGAAAGAAGTGGATTCTTTGGATCAATTCCAGTCTGGTTTCATGCCCAGTTGTGGGACTGTAACAGCCTTGGCCACCCTGGTAGATGACCTGTACAAGGAGGTAGACAGGAGAATATGATTCTGTTAATTCTCCTGGACCACTTGGTGAACTCTAATACCATTGCCTTTCAGGGTTGGAACTGGGGGGCACCATTTCTTAAGTGTTTCAGTTTTACCTCAAAAGTAAGTTTTAGGCTGTAGTGCTGGGGGATTGCTCAGCCTTTTGGCCTCTGGCCTGCAAGGTCCCGAAAAGGTCTGTCTTCTCTCCCACTTTTTTTTAAACCTATGTGAAGTCACCCACAGAGATCATCTAGAAATTTGGGCTGAATTGCCACTAATATGCAGATAACACCCAACCAGGGGTCATTTCGTAGAAAAAGAGCTAGGGGAACTCATTAGCATAACTCATTAGCATATGCCACACCCCCTGACATCACCGGAAGTGTGTCATAAGGCCACACCTCCTGACATCACCGGAAATGTGTCATAAGGCCACACACCCCGCCCCTAACAGTCCCAGCCACCGGTGCCGGCCTTGCAGCTCCACTGCCGAGCCCCATGAGGGGCCCGGGGGTGGACCTGCAAGGCCGGCGGGAGTGCAAGGAAGCCCCGCGAAGGCCCTCCCTGGCCCCAGGCAGGCAGGGGTGGGGAGAGGCAGGGAGGAAGCAACTTACCCTCCCTCTTCTCCTGCCTCCTCCTGGCTGAATGAGGGCCGGAAGCAAGGCGGCCGGAAGCAGGGGGCGGGGCTTCATCATGTGCCCCGCCCCCCGTACCTCACCCGGGGGGACTGCGTTCCCCCATGTTCCCCCCTGAAATGACCTCTGCACCCAACTCTATTTTGCAATTCCATGTGGATCCCAGGGAGGCCATGGAAACTGCCTGAAGGCAGTTTGGGGATTGTTAAGGGCTACCAAGCTGAAATTTAATCCCAATAATATGAAAGTGCTATTGGGGGAAAGGTTTAACCCAGAAATTGGTCTCATTTCTGGACAGGGTTTCACTACCCTTATAATAAAAAGTGTGTCGCTTGGGAGTGATGCTGGACCTGGGCCTCCTATTGGATAAATAGGTAGCAGAGGTGGCCAGGGATGCCTTTCACCAGGTTCAGTTGGTGAGGCAGCTATGGCCATTCCTGGCAAGAAATATGTTGCCACTGCAGTGCTTGCCCTAGTAACATCCACATTAGATTATTGCAATGTGCTCTACATGGAGGCTGCCCTAGAAGACTGTTTGGAAGCTACAGTTGGCACAGAATACTGTGGCCAGATTGTCAACAAGAGTGGGCTATTGGGACCATATCATTCCAGCCTTGTTCCATCTATACTGGTTCCAAATTTGCTTCCATACCCATGAAGGTGCTGGTACTGACTTTTTAAGGCCTATATGCCTTGGGGCCAGCATAACTGAAGGACCATTTACTTTCATATGAACGGACCCAAGCCCTCTGGACATCATTCAGGTGCTCATACCATCTGAGGCTAGACAGCTGGCAAGTTGAGAAAGGGCCTTTTCAGTCATAACACTGAAACATTGTCTGTTTATTATTGTCTTCTGCCAGCAGGTTAAGACTTTTTTGTTTTGCTTGATGTTTCTTTGTTAACTTTTATTTGCCTTCTTCACAGTTTTCCTATGTGTTTGTATGTTTCATTGTGTGTGTGTAAAAAGTGGGTACCTACTATACTCATGAGGGGTCTTTCCCACTCTTAGCCTTCTTCTCCACCACCCATTGTTATCCCCTGCAGGTCACAGTCACCCCCACCATCACCGCCACCAGACCTTCTGTGGCTTTCTTATACCCCACCACCACCACCACCACCACCACCACTGCAGGGCCTGGAATGGCTCCCAGCCATCCCCTACCATCACTGCTGCCAGTGGCAACACCTGTGCAGCTCCTGGACTCTCATGCTAGGCCTGCTGAGGCCTCCTTTACACACACACACACACACACACACACACACACACACACACACACTGCCATTGTTGCTCCCAGTGGCAAACCTGGCAGTGCTTCTGGCCTCTGACACCAGGTCTGCTGAGGCTTCCTACCTTCCATCACCACAACTGCTGCCTGGCCCAGCATGACTCCCAGCAACTGCTGAGGGCCTGGCACATGATGAGGAGAAGGTAGGTGTTGTGAGGGGGGATTAACCCCCCCCGATGCATTTTTATATGTTTACAGTTTTTCTGCAAACCTGGGGAGTCCTCAAAGTTTGCAGAAATACCTATTTTCAGTCAGTGAGGGCCCAATCCACAGGTTTAAGTATCTGCAGATGAGTACACATTTGACTGTTAGAATATAAGATGTATGTATGTATGTAAGTACACCACTTTAATGTTTGAAATGTTTCAATGTTTTAATGCTTGCTGTCTTGGATACCCTGAGTTGGGTGGAAAGGCAGTGCAGAAATGTTTTCAATAAATAAATACACTTATAAGGATAGCAAGAATTCTTCACCTCTCTTCTCCTGCCACCGCCAGTATGCTCCACAGGGGTGTGGCCAATAAAACTGCTTTATTTGCATAAAATATTAAGAGAAGGCAAGAAAAATTGTTTATCCCAGGAGGAGGGGGGGAATCAGGTTTATGTTTTAGCTTAATCAGACAACTTGATCTGTTCCTTGCTGTAGTATGTGTGGTTCACCAAGTTATCTCAACACATATGAGAGACAGAGGCAAGCACCCATTCACCATCTTCTGTAAATATGGGGGGGGGCAGCTGCAGTAAGGAGAAAGACTTGGCAGGAGTTACACTGTCTCCCTCATCCACAAAGGTCTTCTGTTGCTCAAATGAAAATTACATTTATGGAACAGGCAGGGAGATTGATTCCTGCTGAGTCCCTGCTCAGTGCAGCTCACCAAACCTCATGAAGCTCTGTTCAATATCATTCCCCATCCCTTAGCAGTGTCATCTTAGAACAGACGAGTAAAAGAAGCTATTTGGGGCAATGGAAGCCAATGAAAAGTAGCTTCCATTGAGTGGTTGCATGGATATAAATTTGAGTGCAATTTGAAAGATATATAAACTCTTCAGCTGAAGATGTTTAAAATAGGTTGGTTCATATACAGTTATGTTTTTAGTTTCTTACCTCCCCACATCCATACTGTGAGGCAAGCTGAAATAAAATTCTCATGATAACTTCTTGTTTGTTTGCTGATATAGCCCTACCCGAATGGACAACAAGCATTCAGAATGCCTATTTGTCTCTCTATGACACGTTAATTTGGGGATGTATGGCAACTGGGAAACCAATGCCTTCATATAGTTGGCTTAAAAATGGCCAGCCCCTCACACCTCAGGTAAGACCATCAACATTTCCAAATAAACTATGTTTGATGCTGAAGCAAACTTTTGTGAATCCTCTCTCTCTCTCTCTCTCTCTCGCGTGTGCGTATGTTGGTGTTCTCTCTCTCTCTCTCTCTCTCTCTCTCTCTCTCTCTCTCTCTCTCTCTCTGACCGATTTCACAAAAGAGCTGCGCCGTGGTCGCGCCTCCCTTTGCCCCATTTCTATTGGTCAATATCCCACTTGAAGCCGCACGGCTGCATTTTGACCCGCGGCTTCGCCCAATTTTCCCTGTGGTTTTGTGATCCTTGAAAAACAGGATCACGAAACCGTGGGGAAAATCGGGCGAAGCCGTGGGTCAAAATGCGGCCGTGTGGCTTCAAGTGGGAAATTGACCAATAGAAGCAGGGCAAAGGGAGGCATAACTGCGGCACAGCTCTTGTGTGAAATCAGTCTCTCTCTCTCTCTTCAGTACGAATATACATATTGCTATGAAGTTCAGCATTCATGTCCATGGAAAGTTACCCATAAAGTTTTAAATGAGAGAACTTTCCAAAAGTATGGACCCAGCAGCACTGCAGGCTGGTTCTGGAGCACCTGAGGATTTGATGTGCTCTGGCCAGGTTCTAAGAGTAAACATTAGAGTACTGATCTAGATCCATGGTGGAGTTGTACTCAACCCATTTGTCACTTCACTTCCTTTGCACTACCTCAGCCTGGGCCTTCTGTCACTGCTATTCCTGCAGAGTGGGAGCAGGTCCTGGGGGATATGAGCCCGGCTTCCTGCCCTGCCCTGCAGAGGCCTGGTGGCTACTTCAGGGGCCAGTGGTGCTGTCTCCCACACAGGCTGTGGCAGAGTGGCCTCTGTTACTGCTAGAATATTATCAGCAGATGCCTCTGCCATGCTGGTCTCTCCCTGGTCCCTCTGGGCCTACTTAGCCGCTGGTCTTGGTTCCTTGGTCTTTTCCCCTGAAGACTCCAGGTCTGAGTCACTGGGCTGGTCAGAGAGGGTCATAATACTTTGTTATTATGACAGGTGATCAAATGACAGGTTCTCCTGAATTTCTCAACAGTTTTCAATATTATCTCTTATAGTATCCTTTTGGCCTACTTGTCTGGGATGAGCAATGGATCCTCTGGTTGGTATTGGCTAAAGCCCTTCCAGGAACATAGATTACAGAAGGTGATTTGTGCAGTTTTTATCCAACCCCTTGGTCATTGGCCACAATATTTCTTCTTATCCTCATGTTATTGAACATTAAAGATCTGGGAAATATGATCTTTGGATTTGGAGTGAATGCATTACTCTCCTTTCCATCTGATTCTAGGTACACTGTGAAAATGCTGAACTAGTATCTGGAAGTATGTAATGACCAGATGAGGATGAACAAATTTAATCTGTCCAGGATGGAAGTACTGTAGATCATTAATAAAGAAAACATGAGAACAGGTGAACAACCTGTTCTAGATGACGGTGTATTAGAACTGCCAACTCCAGATTGGGAAATTCATGGAAATTTGGGGGCAGGTCCTGGGGTTGGTGGACTATGGGAACAGGTGGGAACTCAGCAAGGATCTGATGCCATAGAGACTGCTGTCTGGGGGAAACATGCAATTTTCTCCATGGGAACTGATATTTCTGGTCCAGACTCTAGAGGCCAGTTGAGATTCCAGCAGAGCTTCAGATCCAAACCTAAGGCTGGCAAACCTAGGCTGTATTCCATCTGAAAGGCACACAAAGTATTCTTGGACTTTTCGTTATTCCTGGATAGATAATAGAGGTGGCCGGAGTGTTTGTATGTTTATTTTTTAACCAACTCATACTGATTCATATTGATGAGTTGTAGATATTCCGGAACAAAGCTGATCTGATCACTGTTGCACTAGTATTGCTGAAATCCAAACTGCACCACTGTAGAGCTATCTTCAATGATGTTTCAAAACTTGGTAAACATGTAGCAGACAGGCTATTAATAGGCTATTAAAAGCAGCAGACTGCAATTAATTGGGGTTGACCACAATAAACCTATCTCACCCAATTTGTATCCAGACCCAGGTCAAGATGTTGTTTTTGATCATTAAAGCTTTTAATAACTCAAATAATCTGCCTCCACATTTAGCAGCAGAACTGCTTTGGTTCTGAGGTGCTTGAGGGCGTGTGCGGTGGGATTCTCCTCTTAAAGAAGGGCTTGGAGGGGGACCCTAAGCAGGGCATTCTGTGCTGCCACTCCTAAACAGTAGGACACCCTTCCCCAAGAGATGTAGTTGTGATATCTGATACTGTCATTACAGCATTGTAGCAACTTCTTCTTATGCCTAGCATTTTTAATAGTATGTTCTGTCATTAGGGTTTTTTTGTTTATTTGTTTTAATGTGCATTTTCACATTTTTGAAGACAGTTTATTTTCTTTTGTATGCACCTTAAATAATCAGGATTTTCAAGGGAGGGTGCTGTCATTATCTGTGGCATCATTGGCAGCATCACAGAATATACACCCCTTTTTATATTTTGTTCATGCTTATATTGGTATATCAATATCATGGCTTACATTTTTTTAAAATGTGCTAAAATATCAATATTCCATTGCAAAGATAGGTTAAGCAGGTTCTCTGAATTCCTGGCTTTCATTTTTTTTAAATAAGTCTCTATGCCCTTCTCATGGAGATATAAGGAAAAAGTCATATCTCCGCAAAGGAAAAGGCCAGAGACTACTTTTTTTTAATAAGAAAGGTGGGAATTCAGAGAACCTGCTAAACCTATCATTACAGTAGTATATCAGTATAGTAGTGTCTTAAAAGAAATGAAAAAAATGAAACCAGTTGTCTTCAGTGCGGGGGGGGGGAGGGAGTTGTTTGATGATGAAGACAGTTTGATCATCAAGAAGTGGTCTGGAGGTGGGTCGGAGTGAGTGGGACCAAGAAAACTAATAGAAGTATTACACACAAGGAAAAAGGCAAATCAAAATTGGCTTTCAGAAAAAGACTGGGCTAAAAGTGGTCTCTAAGGAACTAGTGTATGTTTTGTGATGCTATCGATAATGCCACGGATGATGACAGCACCCTCCCTTGAAAATCCTGAATATTTAAGGCACATACAGAAGAAAATAAACTAACTTCACAAATGTGAAAATGCAGAGGGAGGGCACTTATGTAGGTGAACTGTGCCCAAACTGATTCCAATGCTGTATTTTATATTTTATCTGTAAGGCACCTTGAATGTTCTATGAACAGAGAAACAACTTAAAAATGTTCTAAATAAAAATAAATTATGTACCATACTTTGAAATAACATATATCCATTGAGGGGCGGGGGCGGAAATCCCCTCTTAACAGAGAGATTCTTTGCATGCATCTATCCTGCCTAGCATTACTGTGTTAAGGTATATTCAGGGTATGGTTGGAAGACCTATAATGAAGCTAATGAGATTTTGGTTGGATAAGTACTGGAATGACATGGAATGACATGTACATCACACTGAATTCCATGACAGGGTATAGATGAAATACTCTTCTTATGAGCAATAAAATGCCTACCCTGTTGTAGCCATATATATATATCTTTTATGACTTTTTTTCTTTCTGTAAAACCATTTTTGTTGTCAAACCATTCCTGGGCATTCACTTGGATGCCTGCCCACTGTTTGTGCTTGTGACTGTTTATTCATCTAGTTGCTATGTAACTCAAAACAAAATCAGTTGAGAAAGACCAAAAAGTTGAGCTTCTGCATGAAATGAAATCCTTGTATTGAAGTGCTTTAAATTCATAGGCTATTTTGTGAGAAAGAAAGAGACAGTGAGAATATGTGTGTATGTGTGTGTATGCAATTCAGTCTGAGAACAGCAAACAGCCTGCAGGTAGAACTAAGTATGCAGAAGATATTTGTAGCCAGCTTCTTGGGGGGAAAGGCGGATAAGTAATGGAATGTTGTTAATTAGATTGCTATGTACCAGCCAGACAACCTCTAGCTGTGTTTTCATCATTTTTTTTTAGCTTAATAAGGTTAGAATGGGTCAGTACTTGAAAATCCTCTGAAGGAAACCCAAAGGAACGGGATCTCATTTATTCAAAAGGTGGCACCCTTCCTTCTGCTACAATGTTCAGGAAGTCATTGGATCCTTGATATAACTGGCTTCATCTTAAGCTAGTAGTTCTATATACCAGATCTTTTCTTAGACATTTAGGATGAGAGCCACACATACATCACACTGATTGCAGAAGAGATCTTATTTGTGTGGTCCACTCCATGCATGTTAATGGAGATGAACAGAATGACGAACAGATGTGCAAATCTATTTTTCATTTTCCATGGATGAGTTTACCCTTGCTAGCGGGTGAGCACATCCAAATTCCCACATTTAGAACTAATCACTTGATTGTCAGCAACAATTTTAACAGATAAAACTATCACACGTACTCTATTTTCCTGAGCGGTGAGAAGTTCTAGATGCAACACTGCCAGGTTTAGCTTCCTTTGGATGAGAGCACTGGAGACCTGTGCCATTTTTGTAGTATTTGCTTTATTAGAAATTCAAAATTGCAACATGGGGGTCGGAGGCACTACTATAGGCAACAGGCCCACTACTAAACATCAGATTCCCAGAGAGAAAGAGAGAGAAAGCATAACTTCCAGCCCAATCACAGCTCCATGCTTTTTTTTTTCTGCCTTCTCCAAACTCTCCTCTTCTCAGCTGGGAGGGGTCACATTCTGCAAGTATCATACAAGGAAAGAAAAACATTAAGAAAACTTCTACAGTCATTACAGCACATGATTATTGCCAAAAGCCCTGGATGTCATTGAAATTCACCTTAGGCAAAACCTATTCAAAAGAAGCGATCTTATGACAACACTATTCATTCCTCCTTTAACGTATAGAGAAGTACTAAACATACGATCTGTAGGATTCATGAGACATTGAATATACTCACCCCTTAAAATATTCTGCACATCACATTGTAACTATTTTTGAGCCAGAGATAACTTGCTTTCGGTGTCAGTCTTGTACCCTTCATCAACT